AAGATATAATAAAATAGGAGTAATATTTAGGAAATTGATGTAAAAAGTAAGAAGGAGCGTAAGTTGCGGATAGAAAAGGAAAGGCGAAGGTGTGTGAAGCAGTCGTGGTCGAAAGGGACCCCACCGACCCACCCCGTCTTGAATGTATGTATGTATGTATGCCCCTCCATTTCATTTCTGCTTCTCTTTTCCACTTTTTTCAAAAATAACAAACTTTTTTTCATCAAATCTCCATCTTCCCTGTGATTTTAGGATTCCATTGCTTGTTATCCACGCAATTTATCTAAACCCCTTAAAACCAATTTGATTTTCTCTTTCAATGGATCGTTTCAGGGATGATGAAATTCATAAACCTAAATCAGCCATCATGTTTAATCGATCCATGACGCTTCATAACGCTGCCAATCCAATCGAATTCCCTGAAAAAACTGTTTATTTTTACCCATCTCCTCCTTCTATTGAACGGCATGGCTCTGTCAAGAAGCTTCATACCTCTTCTTTAGGATCTTCTTTTAAGGGTACCGTCAAAAAACTATGTTCTCTTTTTGAATCTCGTAAACCATCCAATTTACAACCTCAAAGCCCTACAAAGCCTGCAAAATCATTTAATTCTGATTCTAGGGTTCCGTCTTTTGGATGTACCTTGCCTGGAACAGAGGACTCGGTTGTGATATATTTTACTAGTCTTCGTGGGATTAGGAGAACGTTTGAGGATTGTTATACGGTTAGAATGATTCTTAAGAGTTTTCGGGTCAAAATTGATGAAAGAGATATTTCAATGGATAGTGCGTATAAAAAAGAACTGCAGAATGTTTTGGGTCCGAAGAATGTGACTTTGCCCCAAGTTTTTATTAAAGGGAAGTATGTTGGAGGGGCTGAAGTGATCAAGCAATTGAATGAAGTGGGCGAGTTGTCCAAGTTGTTAAGAGGATTACCTCTTAGGCCACCTGGGTATACTTGTGAAGGATGCGGGGACATGCGCTTCTTACCTTGCTCCAATTGTGATGGCAGCAGAAAATATTTTGATGAGGATGATGGACAGCTCAGGAGATGTCCACAGTGCAATGAAAATGGCTTGGTTCGTTGCCCTCTTTGTTGTTCTTGATGATTTGCATAGTGTTGTAGTTAACTATTACAGCCTGCTGCCTATAGTTTTCGGTTTGTGCAGGTAGTATTTGAGGTTGAATAGCCTTTGCCTATCTAAGGCAAAAGAAATGGTTGTTTAGTTTTTAAATTGACATATAAATGATTGCTATGTATATATTGCTTGGAAAACTTCATTCCGTGGGATGGAGGATGGCTTTTTCATCCCCGTATAGTCATGTAAATTTGCCATCAAATCGATGGTCTGGTTTTTGATTGACAACCTAGTTGCTTTGTTTAGCAGCAGTTGTGAAATTGAAATAAAGTTCCTTGTTGCAAAGGGATATCACAGTTTGCATTATGTATAGTGAACATCTCTAATTATGTTTCTATCCGGAAACCAATGCCGGTCTCATCACCAACCTATAATGATGATTTATAGTTATGTGCTTTAATGCACCATGTATTCTTTTTGGACGACGCCACATGTGTCTTATTTAATTCTAAAGGCATATTATTTGTTGCCTGCACTGTTTCATCAAAATATGTGCAAATGATGGATGTATCTCTGCGTTGGTAGTAGTTTACTTCTTATGTGATGCACTGTTAGTGTATGCAAATTTTAAAATTAAGATGCATCTGCATTGGTAACAAATGATCTTAAGGAAATAGATTGTGGGTATCTTGATGTACAGATGTGTAGAGAATTTAGGTGTCTGTCATTTGGGCGAATAGTTTTAGGCATCCATCTTGATTCAAATCTTCTTGCAAGTTTGCCTATTGAACGTGCATTCAAAATTGTTTCTGGATAATATTGGCTAGTCTCTCTTCAAGAGGAAGTGCCAGTAATGCCAACTTGTCGAGTTGAAGACAGGAATCCTAGTGGGATTCAACACGGGTTTTTGGTGATATTACTGTTAAAAGGATTTCAAAAGAATGTAATATTAGCATTAGAAAGGAATAAAAGGTGTTTCTTCTGGTGACAGTTTAGGATCGAGGCATGAAGGGTTCAGATGATGGGTGAAGCATAGAATATGGATCTAAATTGGTCTATAAGATTAAGTTGGGAATTTTAATTAAATACCCAAAATGATTATATTTAACTGCCAGTATACATATTGTTCAACCTATATTTGAGTTGTATTCATAATGGATTATACAGTTAGGATGGGTAAAAATGGGTTACCCAATGATAAATGTAATTCCCCTGACCCAGCCTTTTCCTTATATCCTGCTGACATTTCTCGTCATGTGGAGCTGAGATACATCAGAGCCCGACTCTATGTAACCCAAATGAGATGAGATGTTGTCCACTAAAGAATTATTCACTTAGGAAAAAGATGTTTATTCCTCATGTATTAAGTCTAATCGATGACAGCATTTTTCCTCTCTTCTGCTTCGAGCTTAACTCTGTCCCTCCTACAATTCTCTAACTTATCGACATGCCTCCTGAGCTACATTTATCCACACATATGCCTTTTGTAAGTAGTTGGACAATGAGCTTAACACTGTCATTTGTCTTGAGTTTTCCAAGTCCAGACAAAGGTTTTTGAAATTGACTTAGATATTGATAATCTTGCTATTTGGATTGATTTCTGTGTTCTTATTGTGGTGATATAATTTTGAAGTGTAGAATTTGTTGGTCAAAGGTGGAAAATGGAAGCATCTTTATCTGATGTATTAGTATTGAAGTATATAATGTAATAGCTGGAATTCTTTACAAGTAGTCAGGCGACATTTGTTTGGTTTTGTTTCTTTCGCTCTCATCTTTTTATTCAAATTATGTTCAAGCATGTTCCTTTGTCTGTTGTCTGTTTATGTTTGTGTAAGAGGCGATGAAGTAATTGCTGGAATTCTTTTCAAGTAGTTAGGCAACAGTTGTTTGGTTTTGTTTCGTTCGCTCTCAACTTCTATTCAAATAAAGTTAAAGCATGTTGTTTGTATAAGAGGCAATGAAGACCACAAAATATTGATTGAGATGGTTAAACTCTGGTTGATAAAAATGATATAGAAAAGTTGTGTGGCAATAGGCTGTAGAAATCTGATTTTAAAAAATAGTCTGTAGATTTGGTGAAAGCAGAAAGGTGAATATTTGTCCCCAAGTAATTACTGTTTTTTCTTTTCATATGATATTTATCTACTCAGTGTTACTAAAGAGTAGTGGGCAGGATCCATTTTCTTTTTCCCCGTAAAATGTCTGATTTTGTGTACTTAATCTTATTTCCTTGGCTTCTTAACATAGGAATAGGTTCTTTTAGACCTGAAGTCCAATCTTCTTCTTTCTTATGCGAATCAGCCTTTTTTGTGTGCTGTATGAATCCATCTTGTTAAAATTAGGCTTTCATATCCAACGTAAACAAGTCTTAAAAGCTCAATCGTGTTCCTGCTTCCACTGACCATTGAGATTATAAGGTTGGTTGTGAAGGTTTAAACTTTGAGTTGAATGATTTTATTAGAGGAATTTGGTGCCAAGTAGTTTAAACAAGGCTTATATCAGTTGAATTGTAGCCTCTGTTTTATTCAAATAAAAATTGTGATTGTTTTTAAAAACTAAAATATTTTCAAGGGCTAGTGGGGCATGGTTCGAAACTTAGTGCATAGCTCTTCTCTATATAATCATCAGGTTGTGTGCAATAGTATTCGAACTCACATCACTCGTTGCATTCCTATTACTTGATCAAAGCCCTGGCTGGGAGCTTATGAAGACTTCTGATCTTATAATGTCTTTTCTTAGCCAACTTCAAGGGAGGTTGATGAAGCCACAGAATATCGTATATGCTTTGCTTTCTACCTGAGTTTTGTCTACTTATTTTACTTGTTAATGCAACAGATTGTTAAGTCTAGTGTCATACTTTGGTTTTCGTATCATTTACGTTAAATCTTTTATGACTACTCTGTTGTTTTGTAGTAGCTGTTCTTTTCCCTTTAGCAATCTGATTGCTCTACGTGATAGGACGGTTTATCCTAGAAAACTTCATAAATAGCCGAGAGATAAACTGAGCAAGTCTCTTTAGTTACAATTTGCCTAATTATGCTCTGCTATAATTTTGTTTGTTAGGGATATTTGTATAATTCGCATGTCAATATATAAACAATGTAAATGTTTACTAATGTGTTTAAACATTTAGAAATTTTTCAGAACGTAAACAAATCAATTGTATCAATACGATAGGTATATACAAACTATAGTAAGCATACACAAATTTTGGATTTATTACTATTACGAATCCAATTATACAAATTCTTAATCTATACCATTGAGAGTCAAATTATACAAATTTTGAATGTGGTCCTCGTAATTATGATTGTAAATTAATGGTGAATGATAATTTAATTAAACTGTAGCTATATTAATTAATTAACTAATATATATTTGTGTTCATGTAGTTTTCCTTTTATACTATTGTAAACTATAGCACGTTTTGCATAGAATTTTTTAGGAAAAAGGCATAAATTCACCCTAGAAGTTGTATCGAAAAGTCAATTACACGCTTGACAATCTTTTACACACTTATATTACTCAAAAGTGAATTTATAATAAGATTAAGAACAAGAGGAGTTTGAGAAAATATGAGCAATAATCATAGTTCTGTCGTTTTTGCTTTGTATTCATAGACTTTTTACATGTTTATGATTAATATAAGAATCCTTATTTATCTACTACGTATTCTAAAGGAAGAGTAATCCTATTATTAGAATGAATAAGCGACAATAATGGACTTCAATAGCCCCCTGCAAGATCATGTTCTGGAGCGAACCATGAGCTTGGTTCGAAGATTGAAGAATTGACTTGTGCTTTGGTAAAGAAATCTGCAATCTAATTTTGAGATGAAACATAGTGATTGATCTTCAACCATCTCTCAGATAAAGTGATAATCAAGACGAATATGCTTTGATCGTTGATGAATAACATGATTCTAAGATAAAAGTTGTGCACTAAGATTATCACAAAGGACTATGGGAGGTGCAGCGAGAGGAGCATGTAGTTTACTGATAAATTGTTGGACCCAAATTAAGTCAGTAATTGCAAATGCGACAACCTTTTGTTTCCGCGAAGACCAACTGATTAAGTTACGGCCATAGAATAGTGCAAAGTCATGTTGGGAGCGACTATCATCAAGATCAGAGATCCAACCAGCATTCGAAAAGGCCACAAGACTAGAATCAGACATAGGTCGTAGGAAGAGGCCATCATGAATTAATCCTTTTAGATATCGAAGTATGCGTTTGACAGCTGACCAATGAGCAATAGTGGGTGATTGCATAAATTGGCATACTCGATTGACTGCGTAAGATATTTCCGGCCTAGTGATTGTAATATATTGAAGAGCACCAACGACACTACGATATAAATGAGCATCACCAGAAAGAATTAGTCGTGATCCAAGTTCTGTCGGACTAGAAATAGGCTTAGCATCAGCCATGTTTGTTCAACGAAGTAAGTCACGAATATACCTGCCTTGAGATAAAATGATCCCATTTGATGATGGAGAACCTTCTATAGCAAGAAAATAATTTAAAGAACCAAGATCTTTGAGAGAGAATTGCTTATCAAGAATGTGGATAAATGTAGTGATGAAATCACTAGCACTACCGGTTATAATAAGGTCATCCACATAGACAAGAACATATGTTGTATGGTTAGAAGCATGCTGCACAAAGAGAGAAGAGTCAGATAAACAAGAGCCAAAGCCAATGCCAAGGAGAAAAACCTTCAACTTATTGAACCAAGCACGTGGTGCTTGTTTGAGGCCATATAATGCCTTGGTCAATTTGCATACAAATTGGGGCCGATGAGGATCAACAAATCCTTTCGGTTGCTCCATGAACACTTGCTCAGATGGATCACCATTTAAGAATGCATTGTTGATGTCAAGTTGCCGAACAGATCACTTGTTTGTCACAGCCAAAGACAAGATTAGTCGAACAGTTGTGGGCTTAATGACGGACTAAAGGTATCAAAGTAATCAACACCCTCCTCTTGGTGTAAACCTTTAGCTACAAGACGAGTTTTGTGACGTTCAATTGATCCATCGACTTTCCTCTTAATCCTATAGACCCATTTACAGCCAACAATGTTAGAGTTATACGGTGGAGGAACTAATGTCCCTGTCTTATTTCGCATAAGAGCTAAAAATTTTGTCCGCGTAGCATGGTGCCACTCAAGAAACTTGGAGGCTTGGTGATAAGTTGTAGGTTCTGGAATGCGATAGGGATCAGGAGGTAGAGAATGGCGAGATGTTATAAGAGCTTTTGGTTTTACTTCGAACAAATGTATGATGGCAGAGGGGCGAAAATAGGAAGGAGTTGTGGTCGGATAAGAGAAATCAGTCAATTGTGGTAGATTCTCAGGTGGGTTAGTGGATGGTACATGCTCTATTTGTAGAGGAGCTGAAGAGGGTACAGAAGAAGGCACATTTGTATGATTAGGTTGCTCTGATGAAGGGATAAATGATGTAACTGGAATATTTGATAATGACCGTGGAGCGATAGAGTGTGTAGGAGGATGTGAACACACTTGTTGAGAAGCTTGATCGAGTAAAGAGAAAAATGTGTTGCTAGAATGTGACGAGTGTTATTCTTACAATAACTTGTATTTATAAAGTTAATAAACAAAAACAGAAGC